AGGATTTGAGCTGGAAATAAGTCTATGTAAGCCACAGCACTGGTGAGGGATGATGAGAGCACAGAAATATTTGAACCGGTGAGTTACCAGATTTCCTCTTCGATTATTCTATGCATCAAAGAGTCATGTCTTTTAACCTCACATGTGTTAAATTTAATTATGTCCAGTCCAATCCTGCGAACTATATCTTTCTCTTTTTCTTCTTCCTCATTTTAAATTCCAATTATCTATTCTGAGGTCTAGAACTTTCTTAATTAAAAAAAAAAAGGTCTAGAACTTTCTCGAGAGGATTGAAGTCTTAATATGATCAAGCCAGTTGACTTTTAACTGTGAACTGTCCTCATATAGTAAAACTATTTTCTATAAATTATTTCGTGTCAGAATAATGAAGAAGGCACTAAACAACATGCATAAGGATGAAAGATATGTTGACTAGGCATGCAACAGCCCAACAGAATACATTTTGGGATCGATACTACCAAATAGAAGATTTTGAAGCTGCAGCTCTCATGCCCGCAACTTGGAGATTCTATAGTGGTCCACAGGGCCTCTGGTGAGTGTCAAAAGCAATCAAATTATTCGGTGTGTATTGGACTCACTGCACAGGGCCAAGAACTGCTTTCCGCCGAAACGTTTGAAGGCCCCAAATTTTCCAATGCTTTTGGAGGAAAGCAGACATTAGGTTGGCTACGTGTCGATTGTAGAAATCGCGGTCCCTAATCTTGAAATCAGAGCTGTGCTACCGTCAGTCGCCTAGGCGCGTGGATAATTTTTAGCCGTAGATGGTTGTGGGATTTTCGAGTGAGAGTCACACTCATCAATGAGTGAAAAATTTCACGTTTTTGTGCGTGATTGATGCTGGCATTTTATTTTCTTATGATATTAGTAGACTATATCCGAATCTTTAGGGTTATTTTCCAAAGAGCAGCTACGTGTAATCCACCTAGTGGTCCACATTCTTCATTGTAATTAAGCTTTCCTCTTTAGAGATACAGCCTTGTTAGGTGACATCATGGCCTGCCTCATGCACCCAAATGATAACTACCAACTTTGCTACAATATTCCATATATAGTATTATACTTGTTTCGTCGTATACTATTTGGTGATGTATTATACGTACCTTTCAATCATAGAGCTTCTGTGTGGTTACTCAAGGGAGAGCCATAAAATATAGATGTGGCAAGGCAACTATAATTAAGAGCTCATCTACAAGAAATTGATATCAAACATGATTTGATTGGATAGATGTGTCAAACGGTTTGTGTCTGATGAATATTGGCCTTGCACTAATAGTCTAGAAGTTTCCAGAGCAATAATTTCATGCTTCTTCTGAAACTTCGACAGTTTGGAAATCATTTCTGAGGTGCATGCAGCATGAATTATGCATATAAAACACAGTTAAAATCTGGGAAAAACTCTGGTGGGCCAAGAAGGTCTCTGGGATTTCTGCTGAGAAGCACCCTCTGGGTTTGCTTGAATTACAAACTCAGCCAAACCATGTTGAAATTTGATTACATGCATAACACGAGCAGAAATTTCCACAAAACCAATGTGATATGCTCAAAAGAAGTACCAGTAGGGGGGGCAAGATCATACGGTAGGACAAGGTAGATAGGAGATAATGAGTGTAAGTTTTCTGTAAAGAGAGATTTCTGTCCACAAGTTAATAAGCTTCCTGTTAACCTTTTTGAAATTTCAAAATCCTGGTTGAAGATTTCTAGGGATGATACCAAAAACACATTACAAACGTGTATCGTATGGATCGACATTATTTGGTGTCCTATATGTAGCTTTGCCTTTCTCATGATTAGCATTAATATACATACATATATATGCTTTTGCTGAAGTAAACTAATTAACCTAAATTTTTTTCATGGAAGAAAGTTCAAGGGGAGATTGGCTACTCTCACCACCAATGCCGTGGCATACCCATAACCTCAAGCTGGAAGGAACTAATTAACCTAAATTTGATTGTAAACATCCCATCATTTTGTCAAAAGAAAATATGATGATTGGGTTTGTGGAATTTATTTTCAGGGGAGTTGGGTAAAGCCCACAAAAACACACTGAGGGGGCAACTAACGTTAACGGCCCAAATCAAAGTTATATGATTCCCAAGTTTGATAATTTTTTGTTCTCTCTACGCATGATAGATCAACTAACAAATCCCAGTTCTTCCCAAGAAGATTTTAACATCATTTAGTTGGGTTTGTTTTGTATTTTTACTAACGATTAAGTAATTATATTGTACAATTCAATATATTTACTAAGGTGGGAGAGGCCCTTTGGATTTTTAGTAAGTTAGGCCAACATGGCATAAACTATAAATAGAAGTCGCTCAATCTTTTCAAAGTTTGGCTACCTCTTGCTACACTTTTGTGTTTCTGTTATGGCAGGGATTTCGTCGAAAGAAAACCAACCAGAAGGTTTAGCAATGGATAGGTCCCTCAGATTTTGTCGTTAACGTAAATGTAACATTTAATTAAGCGATGGCATGCTACATTTTTTTTTCTTAAGTCTCTCGGTGTGTGTATGTGTCACATACATAAAACCCTCTGTACACTTTAAAAAAAAAAATAGAGACTAATTGTCTTTTTTTTTTCCAGCTGAAAGATTTGGGGTCAAGGAGCTCTTGCCAGCTTATCTCCGTCCAAATCTTCAGCTCCAACAGCTGAAAGATTTGGGGTCAAGGAGCTCTTGCCAGCTTATCTCAGTCCAAATCTTCAGCTCCAAGAACTCCTCACTGGTGTAATTTTTGCCTCAGGTGGTTCAGGATATGATCCTCTCACTGCTAAATTAATGGTATGGTTTTGGTTTATAGAATTCTGCTTTTCTTACAAAAGAATCAATGTATCTTATCTAATCCTTTTCTTTCCCTTGAAATAACAGTCTGTGTTATCAATGTCGGATCAACTATTCAGAAAGATAAAGGCAGCAGTTGGAGAGAAAACAAAACAGAGATTATACTGTCAATAAGCATATTCCTGGTGTGCTCAGGAAGTAATGACATTGCAAATACATATTTTTTCCACACCATTCAGGAGAGCCAATTATGATATCCCAGCATAAACTGATCTAATAAACAAGTTGGGTTGGGTTAACGTCGAGTCATCTGACACGATTAATTAAACATGTCGAGTTAAGGTTGAATTACATGACCTACTAATACAAATTGTCACCCCATTGCTTGGTTATGAAGCTTAATTAGTTAGGAATTTCATTGTAAATTCTATTTATTTCTTTTGTGGGAAACGTTGTAATGGGTTTGAAGGAACTTTATGGACTTGGGGCAAGAAGAATTGGAGTGATGAGTGTACCTGTAATTGGATGTGTGCCATCACAGATTCACAGAGGACATTGGGTGGGGGCATCAGAGAGGACGCTCAGAGTATGCCAACAATGCAACTATGCTCTTCAACTCCAAAACTCTCCACCCAAATGGACTCTCTCAATCAACTGCTTCCAGATGCTAGACTTGTACCTATCTTGATACCTACAATCCAACCCTTGCTTTAGTTCAAAACCCTACTCATTTTGGCAATCACAAACCCATCATAGTTTTGAGATTATGGTTCACTCCAATAGGATCGTTCTATTGCTAGATGTTTACGTTACGGTGTTTGCTATTACTTAATTTGAACCACACATTAAAACAATGTTATGTCTTATCAAATTGACACACTATAAACACAACATAGTGGACTTTCTACAAGAGAAATCTCTCATTGTCAATCATTATGTAGTAAATGACAACTATATCCCTATTTTCGTCCAATGAGTTTGTTTAATAATTTGATTTATAAAATGCATTATCGACTTTTAAGACTTAGAAATTGTATATTTACCTACCTTTTTTTGTCAATAGATATTTACCAACCTTTTGCTCTATCTGTGGTCTTTTTCTTTCCTTCAAAAAGAGGCTCAAACAGTGTAGCGCACGTTTGATCATTGGACCACACGTCATTCTGGGCTGCAAAAATCTCTTAGGAGAAGAATCAATTTGGGTTGTTTATCTCCTGGGCCTGCCGTTGTAAACCTTTGCTTTAGTCCCTTGTCCTATGCAAGGGTTTCAAGTAGCTAGGATTAATGCAACATGAGTTGCCTAAATTTTGTTAAGTAAATTAAATCGTTGCATCTATGCAACATGAGTATCTATCTCACGGATTAATGTTCATTAACCACGCCAATAATAATATGATAATTAGGGATCTGTTAACACATAAGTCAATCAAGATTTTGTTATCGTTAGCCATCAAAGTTGAGTGGTTTAAAGAACCACCAGATTTTATTCAAGATATTATTTTAGAGGATGCGTTTGTGTGAAGTCACTATTACGTATCATGCACCATATAGGTAGAGTATGGTGTTTGGGGGGCCACAACCTTAAAATTGTGGGATTTTTTCTGCTATCTATGTCTATACTCTCTATTTAGCAAAGGAGGTGAGAAGATAGAGTGGACAAGGTCACCTCAGGCCCTGTGAATAGCTCCGTCTCTACCTCCAATCATTTTGAAGAAAAGAAAACCATAAAACCAAAGAGCCTACATCATTAGTGTGAGTGTGAGTTCAAAAATTAAAGATTCCTCTTTGTGTATAATTACTGTGTTTGTTCAAAATTAAAAGTCTTTTTCCAACCAAGCTGGACTTGAACATTCTGGAACAGCTTCTTGACTGTTGAGTTGTAATTGGTGGTGGTGATTTGCACTCGGACTGAGGAATTGGACTGACATCAAAATCATTGTACTGAGGAATGTAGTTGTTGCTTATCTAAACCATATCGATTAGACCAATAAAAAATTTGTCAATGATTTTTGCGTGCACCACAAAGAGGGGCCATGATTCTTAATTGACCTGATTATTGGAGAGAAGAAAGAGAGAGAGACAACAGCTTTGTACGAAGTTGATTGATAGGGTACAAATAATTCTTTTTACATCATTAAAAGCTTTTATGAAACACAGTTGTAGATTAAGATGAACAAATATCTTGTGGGGCCACACCTGATCAGAAAGTAATAATCCACCTATTTTCATAGATTTAAAAATAATAATAATAACCAAACAAAAAAAAAAGCGTGGACATGTTTGTATTTCTAAGATGAAAGGTAGTTTACATGGAAGTAGCTGGTAGGGGAAGGGGAAAACAGAAGAGATATAACAGAGGGAATTCCATCTATGGAAAACTTGATGAACTAATTATAATCTTAACCTATTAAACAAGTAGGACATTTTTTTTTTCTCTGTTTCTGGTAGCTGATTTATGAGGCTGCAATTCTCTCAAAGTTTCCAAGCCTATTATCAGCCAGTCTTGTGTTGTAACAAGAGGTTTTGTACTCAAACCATGTAAACTCTTTGTACATGCTCTCCTCCTCTCCTTTCATGACAGATTGCAGTGGTGCTATTTTCTCACTCAAGGGTGGCCCCCCAAAATAAATCATTGAAACTCTTGATTTTGAACCATTTGCCAAAACCCTGTGCCTCACACTTTGGAACCTCCCATTGGTCAAAACCTGCAAATCCAACCCACCAAGGCCCCCATTAGATTAATATGAATGATAGAGAGAGAACAGAAGAACTTAGAACAAACCCAATAGAAATAAATAAAAGATAAAAACTAGGATGTGGTGTTTATCTAAACGAAACTGTTGAATGTTCTTTGAGTCAAATATATTTATATATATTCATATCTTATCCACGGTAATAGGGAACTGACATGGAAATAGGAATCTTCCTCTACAGGAAACTGATTTGCAAATTAGAATCTTTGTTTTTACTTATTTAAACAGTTTTTTTCAGCCAAAAGAATCAAAAAAAAGTAGCAGTACCTGCAAAGAGTCACCAACATTGATGAAGAAGGAGTTATGATCAGGTGGGACTGGAATCCAATTTCCATCTCTCAATGAAATTTGGAGGCCAGATGTGTTGTTGGATCTCAGCACAGAGATGATTTGTGGGTCTGTGTGCGCTCCAAATCCAATCACATTTCTGGCACTCAAATCTTGAAGCTCTGGACATGGTGGGTAGTGATTTAACCTGAAGCAAGAGTCACTCTGTTCATCCATCAAAAGCTTGCTGAACACATTCCTTGGTTGAATCTTTAATCCTTCAGCCATCAGTTCAAGAATCTCACATGTCATTTTCTTCACAGCTGATATATAATCATTCAAAGCAGAACTGCAAGGACAAAAGAAGACGTTTTTTTCATCAAGAACTTGACATGAAAAGAAAAGGAAAAAAGAATCAAAATTTCCAACTTCTGATTGATTGTGCTTGAATAGCATACCAAAACTCTTCTGGGTTCTGTCCAAAAACTGATAAAAATCTCTGGGAATTGGATTCTGTGTTGGCTGTTAGAAGAAGGTACTCCACCCAACCAACATCACCATTCTTCCCAATATACTTGTTACCATATCCTAATGGATTAGGTGGCCCTGCTTTTTCTTTCTCAGAAAGTGGCAAGGAGAAGAATTTGATGGCCTCAGATTCCAACCTGGTAATGAATTCCATTGGAACACCATGGTTGATAATCTTGAAGAACCCAAACTCCTCACAAGCCCTGACGATGAGCTGTTTGGAGTCAGGTTTTGAAAGGTCTATCAGAGGAATCCCAGCAAAGAATTTGGAGACTTTGCTGCCTCTAGGATAAGAAAAGTTTTCAGTAGGTGGTTTAGTCACAAACACCATTGTTGTAGTAGTTGTTCTTGCTCTTCTCTGTGTATGTGTGTGTGTTTAAGGTCAAAGAGAGAAGAAGCTGAAAGATGAGAGGAAGCTGATATGGATGATAGAATTTTTGTAAATGTGAAGAAAGTTGATATGGCTTGAGTGGAGGGGCACTTTGAGTTTGAGCTAAGTGGTCTTGCCTATTTATAGGGGGAGCAGAGAGAAAGGACTTGGAACCTTCATGTAATAAACACTCTAGAAAAAGAAAAATAAAATTAATTTTTGTTTTTTTAATGAAAATTTATTTATATGACCTTAAATAGAAAGTTTACAAACATTTGAAGAATAAAATATATGACTTTACTGTTATTTTACTCTGAAACCTTTTAAATGCAATGGGTATGGTATTGGTATGGCCAGTCTAGTCATCACCCTCCCAAAGGATCTAATGAGTAGTGACTATTTTCTGATTGCTCCCCTGAAAAGGACATCACAGTCAATTTATAAATCGAAAGGAAAATGGACACGTACGCTACATTCATTGAATATTTATCCTCTATTTCTTTCCCTTTTTTTTTTTGCCTTATGTTTTTGGTTCTTGTTGTTCTTACTATAACGAGGCCACGTCTTCACACACTGACGGTGATCCCCTAAAAACAAAGCTTATATAAACTCTCTTTGAAGATAGATTTAGGGCTTATTTGAGAGAATCACTTCTCTTTCCATAATCACTTAAAATGATTATATTGAGAAGCACATGAAAGGTGCTTCTTTTCAAAAGTAATTATGGCCTATCCAGAATTACTCACAAACAAACTCTTAAGTTGGTTAATACAGAAAAATGAAATTCGAACTTGCGACATAAAACCTCTTAATCACCAAACTTAAAGTTTTTATATAAAAAAAAACCTTAAAAGTAATGGAGCATTATCCAAATATTCTTGTGGATCAAAAACATAATCAGGATATCCACTCAATTTCATAAGATTGATCAATTTTGAGCCTCTTACTTTCATTGTACACTTCCACTAAATCTTCTTACGTGTCAATTTATTTATCCTCTTTGTTCGAGCAATTTACAAGGCTGCTTCATTATTAAATACTGCACTTTTTAAGATTGCATGCAAACTAATAAACTCTCTCCGTATTCCTTAAGCTTGTTTAGTTCATAATTTATGTGTCATTATTTATATTATATTGGGAAAATTATTAAACGTGCATTACATGTTTTCCTTTATTTCATCTTGAAAAGTATATGGAAAACAAATCCGGTTAAATTTTGTAGACAAATATAAATCTAAAAAGATTGTATTTCCAAAATGAACAAGAAGAATCAGAAGAATATAGGTAGTGGGTGAGCATATCTTAACTCCTAGCTATACCTATCTTTCAAGCTAGAGGGTAGATGCTAAGCAATCTCTTGATGGAACATCAATATCATGTGGCATGCCCGCGTGATCTTATGAACATACTCAAATTATAAAATGTGCATAATTATTAATATCGAAATTCTAAACTCGGAATTTTGAAAGTTAAATTCAACAAACTCACGTGGTATATGAATGACAATGTACTATTCTCCTAATCTACATGTACTAAATAATTTCTCATTTTTCAATCGTGCTCGTAGTAAGTTAAGTTCCAGTTTTTTTACAAATTTGGATTTAGATTTTTTTTTAACTACCTCTTCAAATTTGAACTTATGAACTCATTTTTCAAAAATAAAAGATTCGTGGGGACTGTATTTTGGAAGAAAAATCTTTGAACTTTAGTATCAACTTTCAAGGATACGGCAAGTGACTATCCCAAAAAAGGTGAAGCAGATTGGAACGAAAGAGATTTGCCATCACAAACGGTTAAGATGGACTTCAACTACCAAAAAGATACTCATTCTCAAAATTATAAAGAATAAATTTATAAATTGTGCCTTTTTTACAGATTGTTTTATACATAATTTGTCATCTAAAATTTGATATTCACCTCCAGATAATGATATATATATATACACTTGTGGTTGTTGTTAGGTCCATATCTCTTTGTTTCTAGATTTGTACAATTGGGGGTTTGGGGTTTGGTCCCCAATTGTACCAAAATTTAAATAAATGAAAATAGAATGTACATCCAAACTTTATTCATTTGTAACTGATAAGATCATAAGATAATTATCATGTGACCCCTACCAACTTGTTATTTCTATTTATCTTTTTTTTTTTAAAATAAATAAATTATATATATAAAGTGATAAGACTAACCGAAAGAACTCCTTTGAAAAGCACCTATAGCTCAAGATAAACATGGGGGAAATTAGAAGCTCAAGATAAACATGGATGAAGTTAGAAGCTCATACAAATGAGGTTTTTTCCTTTTTATCGAGCATTATTTTGATATAACCAACATTAGAAGAGGAGAACTCAAATATAGACTCACATTTAAACAATATCGAAAAATGATGACTCTAAACTCAACTTCTCGTGCGTATATGATATATATTCTTAACTACTAGAACTACAAACCCCTAATTTAAAATTTTAAAGGTTATATCCTTCGGCCCTAATTCCCGATTTTACTTCAGAACTAAGCAATTTGGGTATCCTTCGAAAATGAGAATGTATATTCTTACGAATATAAAAAGCGACTTCTTTGCGATATTCTACCGTTAAAGCTATAAGTCTCAATCACTAAGTTTTCTGTTTACAATTAGATCCCACGTCCTAAAGTCCCAATTTTGGGACAAAAAGAAAGCATATAGAATATGGATACGTGTTCAAATATCAGCCTGGAGTTGAAAGGCGTGCTTACAAAAGATTTGGAATTTGGAACAAAGAAATAGGCAGCGCCAGGCATGCAGCTATAGGCAGCCCCCACAGGGCCCACCAAGAGACCGTAAGCTTCTATCTCAATCAGTTTACTCTATATCAGAGCGACGCGGCCTCATAATATTCGCATTCATTTTTGTCGGTCGTATTTCTACACATACCTATTATTATTTTTTGACAAAATTCTAAATTATTTGGTCGTGTGTTATATATTATCATTATTATTTGGATAAAATGATATTTTAAATTGTTCTAATGTACGAAATGAGAATTCGACCGCAAGAAAACGGACTCACTGTTTTGACTAACTAACCTAACTCCGTATACGTATGCAATATTATTCTTCATATTATTTTTGGGTTTCTGTTGGTGGTGGCACTGGCAAGCACAGTTGTTATGCTATTATGGGTCGCACGCCAGGTTGGCTTTTCTTTTGCTATTTACTATTTTGGCCTCCTAGCACGACCTCTCTCTTTCTTTCTCTCTCTCCCTCTCACTCGCTCTCTCATATATCCCATCACACACCCAAACACGCTTTGCTTGCATTCATTTCTCTCCTAGTCACTCACTTCCGATGCTTCTTATCATATCATTGATGGATTATAATGTTCCCCACCTAGGATCTCCTTTAATTTCTTTGAAATACACCCAATCTTGTTTCAAATAAGATTAATGAATTGATTATGAAGTTTAAGAATGGTGTGGTCGTTGGTCGGAAAAATTATTGTATGATACAGAAATATCGTCACGTGATGTATAAATAACATGATTTAAGTGTATCATGACGTGACGATATTATAGTTTCTCCATATCATTTAGCATTTTATTTTAAGGAAAGTGTTTAAATCGGGTGAGTAAGAGGATAGTTTTCTCCATATCTTAAAACCATTTTCTCACCTCTTCATGTCTCTAAAGTCTGAAAAGTATTTGATGTTTTCTCAAAATTTTCAGGCTGGAGTATCCAAATTATATTCATCTACCTCCTCTTCGGTCATTGAATGACCTCTTCTGGCATCATTGAATGGATGACAATTTGAATGGATCTGAACCAAAGAATGAATGTATCCAAGTTTAGGACCTTCGGTGCTAAATGATGTGAGCATATACCAAAATATAAACAAAGCAAATAATTAATTAAATAATGTGCAAATGGGTATTTAAATATCCTACTAAACTGTATTATAACTGACCCAGTGAAAAAGGGTCTTTACTTACAAATCAAATGTCTCAAGTTCGAATACCCATGATATCATAGTTGTGTGCGTGCGAGAAATCCCTCTCCCATGTAGTTTAGACTATCGCTTGTATTAAAAAATAAAAATCTCATAATGATGAAATTATACACCGTACTATGTATGGGCCTCTTTTAGTACTATACAGAATCCCAGGAAATATTTACTTTGTCGATCAAGTGTACTTGAAACTAGGGTCTCTAGTACTTCTGCAGACAGATCAATGCGTCCTCTATAAAAAGTGAAGAAGAAAATTATTTATTATGATCGCAGACATTAAACAGAGTAAAATCCATTTTTCTTTTTCTTTTTTTAAAAAAAACTATTTATAATTTGTTAGTTTATTTGAACAGAGATGCAACGAATGAGGGCGGTCTAGAATGAAACACAAAACTATAGGCTTTTTCACATTACGATAATTTGGACACAAAACTATAGGCTCATTCATCTGTGTGCTTCAATTTTGATGTGACCCATGTTCAAGGAAAATGAAGAAGATTCAGCTTTGACCTATGTTTCTATGGATGAAGCTTCTTGGACCCTAAAAATGAACAGAACTCAAAACCCCTTTTCTTCCTTCCCTTTAAAAAAAATTAAAAAACCCATTAGATTTTTAAGGGTGGAAAATGACATGAGGAATTTCAATGCCATCACATCTCGCACACAATTATTTGCTCACGTTTCTCTCTCTGTACTCAATTATATCTTTTCCCTTGAGATTGCTGAGATGCTGAGATGCTGAGATGCCTTCATAATTATTCATATATCATGCTGCTGCTACTGTTGCTGCTGCCGCTGCCGCCCTAAATATATATATATATATGCATTTTAGCAGAGACAGAAAATCGCATTTTTAATTGTTGTGCAGTGAGATTTCCTCATGTGAACATGTGCTGTTGACTCAGTTGATGTAGACATAAATTAAAGGGTAAGAGCTCCAAAAGTTTTTGACTGTTTGACCGAAAAAAAAGGAGTTTTTGACTGTGTCGACATAGATACGCAGCACAATACAAACGCGTATATAATAAATTTTAAGAAAAAGAATGTTCTTTTGTCAAACTATTGGTAAACATTACTCAAAATTAGAACCAAATTAAGACCCCTCTAAAAGTAGGAAACA